AGTAACCCATGCTTGTCGTAAGAGGCGACTAACGGGATCGGGTGGTCAGGCTCGCTGACTTGGTTGACACATGTCATCGGTTCCCAATTGCGCAGATCGATGCTCATGCTGTTGATCCCTGGATTGTCTGATTACATACCGCCGCCATACAGCTGGAATATTGCTGAGTGCGGCGTAAAACTAAACTCAATCACTCACCAATTTCTGTTGTCCATGTTTTAGCTGGGATATTAACAACGGTAGAGTATAATCCTACTCACCAACTAAATTAAAATCGAGGCGACTATAGAGACGTTGGTTTGACGTATTGCAATCACAGCTGGTTCAGTAAACAATAGATGTACCTCCAACAGTAACGACACGAAGACATCTTCTGTAGAATGACAATACGTATGTTAAGAATGGCTTACAGATAAAACTAAGTCTTCTTTTCGTTCGGTATCCAACTAACTGATTAACTACACCAAGATTAAATATGAATGATTAAAAATGTTTCGTCCTTATCATCACCATTAACTGGTATGAAACAGAAAAACGAAGTTTATGTCGAGAATGGTTGTCCTGATTGCAATGAGGTCATTTCGATGTGCTTAAATAGAACTGAAACTATTTTTTAACAAATCCCCCCAAATCCCCCCTAAACGATCCCCACAAAAGATAGAGATTGACAAAAGGACAGAGTTATAAAAATGTCATAGCTTTCTTATAACACTTATTTCTTGTCATATAAAGAACGTAAGAAGCAAATTTGATATTACAATGTTTTATTCGTTATATTTACAGTACTATATGTACAATATGATGTTACCAATGTGCCTGCATTTGTGTATTATGTGCCTTTGGCCTAGAATTACAGAAATAATTATGTCTGTTATGAAGCTGACCAAGAGTGTTCGTTGAGGACGCTCTCGGATGTATATCCAGTTTACATCCTACCGGCGAAAATTTAGTATCTTTGTGCAAAAAGCTTTATGGTAACTGGTACACAATATACAATTCGCGAAATACCTTCGAGCCAATTTCACTTGAATGAAGTTTTCATTAAATTTCGGTTAGACTTAGCTGTCATCATCAACTCTTCATACCTGACTGCTGTCAACCATCCTGAACTACCACCGAGAACGTCCTCAACGAACACTCTCGGTCAAAAAGATAGAGTGATATAAAAGAGAGTGAGTGAGTGGGTGTGTTTAGTTTTACGCCGCACTCAGCAACATTCCAGCTATATGGCGGCGGTGTGTAAATAATCGAGCCTGGACAAGACAATCCAGTGATCAACAGCATGAGCATCCATCTGCACAACTGGGAACCGATGACATGTGTCAACCAAGCCAGCGAGCCTGACCACCCGATCCCGTTAGTCGCCTCTTACGACAAGCATGGATTACTGAAGATCAATATTCTAACCCGGACCTTCACAGGTCGATATAAAAGAGAGGGCAAAAAGTGAGTGAGTTTAGTTTACGCCGCTTTTAGCAATATTCCAGTAATATCACGGCGGGGGGACACCAGAAATGGGTTTCACACATTGTACCCATGTGGAGAATCGAAGAGAGGGCGAAAAGATAAAGATGAAGTGATAAAAGGATAGACTGATAATGATGAGCGAACATAAGCATAACTGGCGGCAGTTGGTTTGGCCGCATTCAAGTGTTACCGGGGCGAGCCTCTCCGCATGTAGAACATGTGTTGTGTTTCATGATGTCAAGTAGTGAGTGTAGATTGAGGTGTAGTGAACCAACGTCGTGGTCGGAACATGTCACGTACAATACACCGTACTTAGTGTGTTTCATATCGTACTATTTGAATTCCCTACATCAGAGATGAAGCACACTTCCTTCTATGATAGTCACTTTCATCGTATTTATATCGATAATGTATGGGAGAGTGAGTGAGTGAGTGAGAACTCAGTTTAACGCCGCTGTACTCAGCAATATTCAAAAGCTATATGGCGGCGGTCTGTAAAGCGAGCCTAATCGAGTCGCCTGGACCACAAAATCCAGTGATCAAAAGCATGAGCATCGATCTGCGCAACTGGGAACCGATGACATGTGTCAACCAAGTCTTGTTGGTCTCTGCGAGCCTGACCATAAGGACTGGTCCTCGTTAGTCGCCTCTTACGACAAGCATGGGTTACTGAAGGTTCATTCTAACCCGGAGTTTCACGGGTCTATGGGAGAGTGAGTGAGTTGGGTTTAACGCTGTTTTGAGCAGTATTCAGTTTATCACTTCGTGTAAGCTGGATGTGGAAAACAGTAACCCAAACTCTGTAGTACCAACATTTTAGCGCAATTTATTTGTGCTGTGATGATGCTTCGATGTAAACGGCATCTAGACTACACGTGGACAGACATATGTAGATAGGCAACTTATCCCATGCCATTCCATTCAGCAATCAATGTATCGTCACGCAAAGAGGCAATAAATTCAAATTGTTGTACAAGGATACGTGTTGGGGTATATATTGTACGAAAACCCAATGATGAGGGTCCAATGACATCGTATCAGAAACTGTTATCTAGCGTTGTCCTACCACCTTACTACAGGAATCGCTTGCTGTCAAGTCGTCGGTGATATGGCGTGAATACACAAGCGTATTCCACATTTCATATAATATATATATAATGATAAAATGACATTTGCTGCTTCCACATGTAATTCCATAATTATCACTGACTGACTGAGTTTGGTTTTACGCCGCTTTTAGCAATATTCCAGCAACATCACGGCGGGGGACACCAGAAATGGGCTTCACACCTTTTACCCATGTGGGGATTTGAACCCGGGTCTTCGGCGTGACGAGCCAACGCTTTAACCACTAGGCTATCCAACCGCCCCTATAATTATCAAATCACCTTAATTATATACAGGAGCGGTGGGGCAGCCTAGTGGTTAAAGCGAACGCTCGTCACACCGAAGATCCGGGTTCGATTCCCCACATGGGCACAATGTGTGAAGCCCATATTACTGGAATATTGCTAAAGACGGCGTAAAACCCAACTCACTCACTCACTTTATAACCTGGCCCCGACAATCGAGTGTCTAAGGGTATTCGGTATTTCGATCACAAATGAGTGAGTAGAATTTTACGCCGCTTTCAGATAAATTGACAAAATATTACGACAGGGAACACCAGAAATGGGCTTCACACATTGTACATACGCGGGGAATCGAACCTGATTACAAACAAAAGATTATATAAAATGTATTCCCTACTTGTACGTCCTTTGCTGCATTGAAAACCCCGAATCTCCAAATAAATGGCATTTCCAAGTTCTGTGGAGTTAAGGCATCAGTGCCACTACACTACAGTGACTGTCGACATTAATGCGTTAACCTAACCAGGCACAAGGCTGTTGTTATTACTGCTATCTCTCGGATAACTCGCCCCAGAGACACTCCACGTAGCTAAAGTAGAAGAGATATTCATGAAAATTTAATCGTAACGAGCATTTACAAGCTTTTTTTTATAAAAGAAAAATCAGACACTATCCATTTTGTGTTCTCTTGATCGGGAAGAACAGCCTTCACCTACCTCAATAGGCCTCGTCAACTCATCTGGACACACAGTGATAATGAACAGACAACAGATCTACCCGGCCCTAAGAGTGGTTGAGTAAGGATTTACGCCGCTTTCAGCCAAAGCCGCTTTCACGGCTGGGTGCTCCAGAAATGGGTTTCTGTACCCATGTGGGGTCTCGAACTAGGGTCTTCGGCGTGATGAGCAAACGCTTTAACCACTTGCCTACCCCTACCGCCGATCAAACACATGTGTAGATCAAGGGGAAGGGTTTCAGCGGAATATGTCTTTGAGGGCACTGCATGATAAGGTTCTCCTTCGAGGCGGAATAGACCCTCAGTATCCAATGGTTGTCCCAAGAGCTGGTTAACTTGGATCGGGTGGTTACCATGGTAACCTGGCTAATCGCGTGATACCATGTCCCGATGGCAGGTTGTTCATGCCGTCAGCCACTTGTTTGAATGCGGAATGTAGAGAATGAAGGACTCACAGACAAACAACATGACACGAGGGGTCATTGTAGTGATTTCGTGGTACTCTACATATCACAGTTGAAATGTGTTAGAATTGGGTTTTGGTTGGTAAGTTCTTTGGAGATATCATGTGTTGAAGTAGTATCACACCTCGTCGTTTTAGCCACCGAAATCACAATAAACATCACTACCCGAACACATATATGTGTCTGTCAAACAATCTCATTCAAATATGATATATTGCTCCAATACATGTTAAATGTTGAGAGGTATCACATCGGAGTTAAAAATTTGATTTTATTATTATCAGCTTACTTAGTTCATCCCTAAGGAGGGCGGTGAGATAGCCTAGTGGTTATATCGTTCGCGACCAGCGTTCGATTCCCCACATGGGTACAATGTGAGAAGCCCATTTCTGGTGTCTCCCGACGTGATATTGCTGGAATATTGCTAAAAGCGGCGTAAAACCAAACTCACTCTCTCATCCCTAAGGATGCTTTCCAAACTGAAAAAGAAGAGTCCACAAGTCACGTTTGATATGGGGATACATTTATTCTCTTGATCTCTTCTCTCAGAAATATTACCTACATCCATGAGAGCATCTTCAAGTCTACATGTTGGCCCCTTGGTTCCTCGTAGAATGTACGTTAAACCTCTGCATACATGGTATATACAATAACAATTGACAAGGGTACAAAATGGCACATACATTAAAGATAAACAATTTCCTGCCAATCAAAAGCTTTGCACAGACAGTGAAAATGCTACCGTTATAAGGCAAGAAGTAGCACGCAGTCAGTGGCGCGTTATGATGAAATCATTAACGTGCAAACTGTGAAACTTGGCTGCGTGTAGACATCCCTAAGTAGAAAATGGACTTTTCTATGCGTAAAGAATTGACTGTTCTATGGAAAAAGAATGGACTGTTCTATGCGTAAAGAATGGACTGTTCTATGCGTAAAGAATGGACTGTTCTATGCATAAAGAATGGACTTTTCTATGCGTAAAGAATGGACTGTTCCATGCGTAAAGAATGGACTGTTCTGTGCGTAAAGAATGGACTGTTCTATGCATCTCATTACACAACCATGATACAGAAACTATGTTTTCCTTACGATACAGTGTTGATCTACAAGTTCTCCCTACGTGCCTGTACAACGACATACTGCCGGTCCACAATAAGACTAAAGGTAAATATCTACCACCCATGTTAAATTGTTGCATATCACATACCGATGCTTACATCAATATACTACATTTAGCATAATAGTAGTATGCATGTTTCAGTTAAGTCAATACGTATCAACTGTAGACTGTTAGCATTGAGTGGTTTAAGTGACCGCTGTTAGATTTAACTAATAACACTGAAATGCAAGAAAACCGTTTTAATAAACTTTCAGAGACAACGATTCCTTTGAGATGCTGAAAAACTTATACGTACACAATCTTGTTAATAAGAACACATTCACAGTCACACTACAAACATTTGTAGATCTAACAAACCGATAACAAATGAAGATCTGTTTCATTCAATACTGCTTATTTCTTTGGTTCAACACGATTAAAATCAATCGGAAAGGCACCTTGTATATATCTTAAGCACGTCACCATGGTAACAGCAATAACAGCATCCCATGTTATTGACACCTGCTTTATGATTTGATATTGTCGGGATAGTTGGACACTTCGATCAGGTTGTCATCCGGGTCTCGGAAGTAGAACGAGGTGATTGGTCCAATGGCGCCATTCCTCTGTACCGGCCCCTCCATGATAGTGACGTTGCAGTTCTAAAATTCAAGTGACTGATTGAGATGCCATGTAAGACTGCTGATCGTCAATGGGACTAAAGCCAAAGTAGCGCAGGTTTTGGAGCTGAGAAACCAAGGATCCTATTCCGAGTCTGTTCGCAACGCTTTGGTCAAGTGGACAAATTCAAACACTCACTGTGTACTTCACAAGGATAACCAGCCGATATTGTGGAACCGCTTTGCAATAAACACTTATCATTTTGTTACACTCAATGACAAGATGATCCCCAAACTCATAATTTCAATTCCATGCATCGACATAAATATATTGCAGAAGCTGCATATAAACAAACGGTACCAAACAATGAAGTTGGGGCATATGTTTACCATGAAGAGCCACACACATTGTAACCAATCAGCTCAACCAAACTGATTACTTCTGTTCTTTATTTCATTTGGCACAAGTGATCATCTGTTGCATTTGGTGATTATCGTAGGACACTATATAGACGAACACGAATACACAATTCAATTTAGAAAGTGACCAAACGTAAGAAGAGTTTTATTTAGGATCACACTTGGGCTGAGTTGGTTCATGTACTGACTTTGTGTGCAGTTGCTTTGGTGCCTGACTCTAACAGGGTGTGCCTATCCAAACTTCAGGAGCATAGGATGGGCGATGCAAATGGAAAGTATGTCATCGGACAAATAGTCTGTGTTATCTACGGTAAAACAGATTACTTTGGTCACAAAATATGTAAACCAAGTGTATCGTTTTGTGGGTAGAGCTTGTGCACACTTCAATAGCCTAATCATACATGCATACGTAAGAAGCACACATCAACAAGCAAGGCTGCTCCTTATCAATCATAATTGTATTAAACTGCAGACAGTTCACTTTCGACCAGAAAAAATGGGAAAATAGTTCTATTCTGGTATTTTTTGCCTTAGTATTTAGTCCTATCCAGTACTGTTTTGTGATCATAATCAGTGTCCAAGTCCTTTCGCGTACTGTTTTGTTGTCATAATCAGTGTCCAAGTCTTTTCGCGTACTGTTTTGTTGTCATAATCGATGTTCAAGTCCTTTCTCGTACTGTTTGCTTGTCATAATCAATGTCCAAGTCCTTTCGTGTACTGTTTTGTTGTCATAATCAGTGTTCAAATCCTTTCGTGTACTGTTTTGTTGTCATAATCGATGTTCAAGTCCTTTCGTTTACTGTTTTTTTGTCATAATCGATGTTCAAGTCCTTTCGCGTACTGTTTTTTTGTCATAATCGATGTTCAAGTCCTTTCGCGTACTGTTTTCTTGTCATAATCGATGTCCAAGTCCTTTCGTGTACTGTTTTATTGTCATAATCAATGCCCAAGTCCTTTCGCGTACTGTTTTTTTTGTCATAATGGTTGTCCAAGTCCTTTCATGTACTGTTTTATTATCATAATCAGTGTCCAAGTCCTCTGAGTACTGTTCAAGTAATTTTACGTACTGTTTTATTTATGGCCAATGTTTGAGGTGCGTGAAGACTGCTATAGTACCTTCAGATGTTCCATGACCTGGTTCGGCTTCGTGTTGGTGATGAAACAGACATCAACCGACCCCGGAGTCGGGCAACTGGCCTTGGGATCAAGCTCCTTACCACGCTCGTGGAGGCCTATCTTAGAAAGGCCGAAAGTGAGCGCTTTACGACCCTGTAACAAAACGTTCATTTATCTTAGAGTACATCTTCCTTTGTTGATCTTACGCGTACTTAGTTCCGTATTCTGTTTTCACATTTAGCCTTAAGTTATGTTCTTTAATCTAAAGGAAAAACACAATTATCTTTAAAAGTACTTTACAACCTTAATCACTATCCTACAAATGTTTAGACCCTAAATGCGTTAATACCACCGAACACAGGTTGTCCAGTGTATGGAGCTCTTACTTTGATTATAGCGATCTCCATGCCAAGTACCCGATGGTAGAAGTCCACGGACTTGTTAATGTCGGCGACGGTGATGACGAAGTGGTCAACACGTTCAATCTTGAAACCGCTGACTGACCGCGGGGCAAATGTCGCAGCTGACCCATCCTGCAAGATGAATGTATTCTGAAAGTATCCCCATGTGTGCAATGAGTGAAGCCTATTCCTGATGTCCCCTCTGTGTTATTACAGGAGTATTGCTAAAAGCGGAGTAAAACCCAAGACACTCACTAGATCACGGTGTTATGGGTATCGTTGAGAGAAATCGTACCGAGGTCTTCGGCGTTGAAAGCGAACGCCTTAACCACTAGGCTACCCCACCGCTCCCGTGCTCAAGTGGGTAGAGCAGGCTGTATATTACCTAATACTTCGTGGCATTCGTTGATTATTACAGGACCCGACTGTATGCATATATTTGGGATCACACTTCCTTACATAGGTTGAGTGGGTTATATCGGATGGGATTCAACCCCAAAAGTACTGCAATTTGTACTACAGGTGCCCTGTAGACAAGATCTATGGTAAGCCAATGTTAAAGAAAGGGAGTTACGTCCTCATTGGACCCGTGAAGGTCCGGCTTAGAATGAACCTTCAGTAACCCATGCTTGTCGTAAGAGGCGACTAACGGGATCGGGTGGTCAGGCTCGCTGGCTTGGTTGACACATGTCATCGGTTCCCAATTTCGCAGATTGATGCTCATGCTGTTGATCACTGGATTGTGTGGTCCAGACTCGATTATTTACAGACCGCCGCCATATAGCTGGAATATTGCTGAGTGCGGCGTAAAACTAAACTCACTCACTCACTCACTCCGTCCTCATTGTATGTTATCATCCCTGTGACCTTACGAAATGTATCAAGCCCCCAACATTCGAAAATAAATTTGTTGTTCAGACTCTGACAATTGGTGTATCGTATCATGGATGATTGGATGCAGCTCGTAATCGAAGCCCGATGATCATAGCTCATGATTTGCCTGCTGTGACCAGATTTCCGGATTCAGAGTGAAGCGTCACATGACACTGGGGGGTTATTGGTGGTTGCGGTGATAAAATTGACTCTCTCACTTCCTGGCAGGAAGGCGGGCAATTTACAAACCACCAAGACTGCGGCATAAAACAGCATTTCTCCGCGTTCACATCCCATCACCAGCTTATAATATTGATGTAACCGGGGTCTTAAATACGCGCCCTCAGTTCCAGGAGCGATCTACGTGACTTGAATTATTCGCATCTCCTTTCTTGTGTATACTATTAACCTGACGACACATTAATAACTGACGCATAATATACAGTAGGTACTATCAGACATGGTACTTATCTTGTGATATCATAAAACTGTGAATGTCTGCTGCTGGTCTACAACCTTTATGTGGCATTGTATGTAAGAATGTAAACATCTGATAAGCGAACATCGGTAAATCACCTGTGAAGATCTGGGTTAGAATTCTTGGTTGACACATGTCATCGAATCCCAATTGCGTAGATCGATGCTCATGCTGTTTTCCTGGATTGTCTGGTCCAGACTCGATGATTTACAGACCGCCGCCATATAGCTGGAATATTGCTGAGCGCGGCGTAAAACTAAACTCACTCACACACAGTCACTCACATCGGTAAATCAACCGGTGCATATTGTGTCATAATCTCATTATTACACACATTCAAGCGTTATACATACAGTGGCAATAACTGAAGCTACATATTTAGTCAACCGCATCACGGTCGTAATCATATCACCAACAATACTTTTTTTTTACCTACTTAGTTTTGATAAAATATCCGTCGCGTCGTTACAGCTGAGTCATCCCATGTATTAAGCTATATGTACATTGTTCCCAGGACTGCAAGCATTAACTGACAATTTTGAAGCACAGCTTGTCACAATGAATGTTGGTAAGATGCATACATACAGTGCCAGTCGGTCACTATCACACAGCTTACGACCAATGGTAGTGTTACATATTACAATTAACTATAGCATAAAGTCCGAGACAACGTTTCCATGGGTATTTCATAAGAATATGACCTCCAGCAGTCTGACATAACTGAACGAACTGAACATACCTGTACGCTTGTTGTCATTATGATGCCGAGATCTATGTACTTCCACCTGCACTGTTCCAGGGAGACTATATAAGGGGGAGTGGCCACTCCTCGGAAAGCCCCTTAGCGTATATGCGCCTCGGCTCGTCACGTGACCAGTGTAGCCAATTGTTATTAGCATAATTGTTATTAGTGTCAGTATTAGTACAGTAGATTTGTAGTAAAGTTTCAAGTCGGCATGTTGTAGCTCACTGGCTTCAATTCTCAGTACACAGCGAAGAAAGACTAAATTATATCGCTAAAAACTTCTTTCACATATCCGTTTAATCTTTAGAAGGGAAATATACCTTTAGTTGTTTGCAAGTAATAGTGATAGTTTTAAAACTAAAAACAAATTGTTAGGGTGTATTTGAGTTGTGTGAAAAATATGACATATCGCCCATCTGCCATTGAAATACTACAGGGCGTTGTTTGAGTGTTTCTAGTTATTGTTCTAAAACATCTTCCACATACACCTTCAATTTTTATGAGGGGAATATACCATCAGGTGAAAGGTGTTTGCAAGTAATAGTGATAGTTGTATAATTTAAAAACAATTGTTAGGGTGTATTTGAGGTGTGTGAAAAATATGACATATCGCCGATCTGCCATTGAAATACTACAGGGCGTTGTTTGAGTGTTTCTAGTTATTGTTCTAAAACATCTTCCACATACACCTTCAATTTTTATGAGGGGAATATACCATCAGGTGAAAGGTGTTTGCAAGTAATAGTGATAGTTGTATAATTTAAAAACAATTGTTAGGGTGTATTTGGGGTGTGTGAAAAATATGACATATCGCCGATCTGCCATTGAAATACTACAGGGCGTTGTTTGAGTGTTTCTAGTTATTGTTCTAAAACATCTTCCACATACACCTTCAATTTTTATGAGGGGAATATACCATCAGGTGAAAGGTGTTTGCAAGTAATAGTGATAGTTGTATAATTTAAAAACAATTGTTAGGGTGTATTTGGGGTGTGTGAAAAATATGACATATCGCCGATCTGTTCTGATACGCCATTGATGCTTGTGATGCTTGAGTGTTATAGTTCTAAAACTTCTTTCTTTCTTGTTGATCTTAGTATGTGACAAAACTGGAAAGGTGTTTACAACACTTTGTGATAGTTCTAAACTTTCTGTTTTTGAGGGGTCTGTGACAGTGTCAGTTAACATTCTGTCAATGTCCATGCCATTCCACACATGCAATAAGATATCTGAATTAGTTACTAATGTAAAAAAAATGTCTCAAAGTAGATTTTTTTTAAAAAGGACAGCTGATGTTAACACATGTGTTCTACCGATAGTTTTGCGTTCTTTAACATGTTTGGGGAGGGATGGCCGTGGTGTATCATTTATTCGTTCATTCATTCACATATGTATTTCTTTTGTTCTTTTTCTTTATTTCTTTCATTCATTCACATATAATTCTTGCTCTTAATTCATTCATTCATTCATTGTAAAATTCCGACTGATACAATACACTGGCTGAAGTACTGTTAAACCAGGGAGACTATATAAGGATATAGATATAGATTATCCCTGGTTAAACGCAGCCGAAGTTGCGCTGGGAACGAACCAAGTCACTGTGTGCGTTGGAGCATGATTAGGCACACGTTAATTAGTACAAATGGTCAAGAAAGCAAGCGAGTGACCTATCCCTGTTCTAGAGTATCCCTGACTAATCACCTCCACCCGAGAGACTGCGAGCGACATGACCTAGATCGAATTGGTATTTTGATTCGTTCTACAGTACCGGGCAGAAACAGACTATCCCTGAATACCGGTTGTTTGGTCATGACGTATATGTCCAAATATCGTAATAAATAGAGGCGTAACAACAATTTCAAAAGACCTTTCAAAAACATAGAAATGTGTATGCTACATGCAATCCAGCTAAGGCTTCATCAGTTCTCCGTAGACTCGTGATCAACCCAGCTGACAGTTTTAATGTACAAAATCTATATATGTTTCCACTAGGTAATATTTTAGTGTGACAAATAGACATACATCATACACATTTCTTTTTTTTGAGCACGTTAGTTTTTTGCTTCTTTGGCAGACTTAAATATGTGGACTTGTCGATTGTCGCATCAGTCAATGTTTCGCTCTCAATAATTTTTATTTACCTCGAATCGACTATTTAGAGGCCTCTAGAATATTGCTGACTATGTCTTGTTTAACCCGTCAGTGATAGACCTTGATGCTATTTGTTGCGTCACCAACCCCTGTTGTGTAGCGCCACTAAGACTCCAGTGCCAATACTCAGGGTTACATATCTCATAAAAAGCAATAATTGCGCTTGTGCCGAGAGGGAACTCTCGTTGTTGCCAATGTTGGTCGTCAATGTCGACTCACGTACCTGCACAATTAACCTGACACAATTCGTTTTGTATTATTACCTTAAGAAAATGTAAGTTATAGATATGTCTGATATCTGGATGGGTGAATGTATCTCGGAAATGATGCAGTGTTTGATAATGGCGATGGCGATCTAACACGATCGCAGTGGCCATGTACAACTTGCTCCTATGGCCAGTACTGATTGTTAGTGAAGCACGACCGTCAAACATTTTACCGTTATGATTACGGTATATTTTCTAACAGTACACCTTAAGATTTACAGTCCCTTAACTGGTAGCGTGGCTGCCATCATTTTACCGTTACCGGTATCATAATGACAACAAGCGTACAGGTATGTTCAGTCCGTTCAGTTTTGTCAGACTGCTGGAGGTCATATTCTTATGAAATACCCATGGAAACGTTGTCTCAGGTTTTATGCTATAGTAAATTGTAATATGTAACACTACCATTGGTCGTATGCTGTGTGATAGTGACCGCCTGGCACTGTATGTATGCATCTTACCAACATTCATTGTGACAAGCTGTGCTTCAAAATTGTCAGTTAATGCTTGCAGTCCTGGGAACAATGTACATATAGCTTAATACATGGGATGAGTCAGCTGTAACGACGCGACGGATATTTTATCAAAACTAAGTAGGTAAAAAAAAAGTATTGTTGGTGATATGATTACGACCGTGATGCGGTTGACTAAATATGTAGCTTCAGTTATTGCCACTGTATGTACAACGCTTGAATGTGTGTAATAATGAGATTATGACACAATATGCACCGGTTGATTTACCGATGTGAGTGACTGTGTGTGAGTGAGTTTAGTTTTACGCCGCGCTCAGCAATATTCCAGCTATATGGCGGCGGTCTGTAAATAATCGAGTCTGGACCAGACAATCCAGGAAAACAGCAATTGGGATGCGATGACATGTGTCAACCAAGAATTCTAACCCAGATCTTCACAGGTGATTTACCGATGTTCGCTTATCAGATGTTTACATTCTTACATACAATGCCACATAAAGGTTGTAGACCAGCAGCAGACATTCACAGTTTTATGATATCACAAGATAAGCATCATGTCTGATAGTACCTACTGTATATTATGCGTCAGTTAATAATGTGTCGTCAGGTTAATAGTATACACAACAAAGGAGATGCGAATAATTCAAGTCACGTAGATCGCTCCTGGAACTGAGGGCGCGTATTTAAGACCCCAGTTACATCAATATTATAAGCTGGGGATGGAATGTGAACGCGGAGAAATGCTGTTTTATGCCGCAGTCTTGGTGGTTTGTAAATTGCCCGCCTTCCTGCCAGGAAGTGAGAGAGTCAATTTTATCACTCTGGATCCGGAAATCTGGCCACAGCAGGCAAATCATGAGCAATAGTCATCGGACTTCGATTACACGTTGCATCCAATCATCCATGACTCGATACACCGATTGTCAGAGCATGAAGAACAAATTTTTTTTCGAATGTTGGGGGTTGATACATTTCGTAAGGTCACAGGGATGATAACATACAATGAGGACGGAGTGAGTGAGTGAGTTCAGTTTTACGCCGCACTCAGCAATATTCCAGCTATATGACTGTCTGTAAATAATCGAGTCTGGACCACACAATCCAGTGATCAACAGCATGAGCATCGATCTGCGAAATTGGGAACCGATGACATGTGTCAACCAAGTCAGCTAGCCTGACCACCCGATCCCGTTAGTCGCCTCTTACGACAAGCATGGGTTACTGAAGGTTCATTCTAAGTCGGACCTTCACGGGTCCAATGAGGACGTAACTCCCTTTCTTTAACATTGGCTTACCATAGATCTTGTCTACAGGGCACCTGTAGTACAAATTGCAGTACTTTTGGGGTTGAATCCCATCCGATATTTGAAGACACACAATCAGCTGCGAGCACCAAAGTCAGCGATATAACCCACTCAACCTATGTAAGGAAGTGTGATCCAAAATATATGCATACAGTCGGGTCCTGTAATAATCAAAGAATACCACGAAGTATTAGGTAATATACAGCCTGCTCTACCCACTTGAGCACGGGAGCGGTGGGGTAGCCTAGTGGGTAAGGCGTTCGCTTTCAACGCCGAAGACCTCGGTACGATTTCTCTCAACGATACCCATAACACCGTGATCTAGTGAATGTCTTGGGTTTTACTCCGCTTTGAGCAATATTCCTGTAAAACCACAGAGGGGACATCAGGAATCGGCTTCCCTCATTGCACCCATGGGGGATACTTTCAGAATACATTCATCTTGCAGGATGGGTCAGTTGCGACATTTGCCCGGCGGTCAGTCATCAATTTCAAGATTGAACGTGTTGACCACTTCGTCATCACGGTCGCCGACATTAACAAGTCCGTGGACTTCTACCATCGGGTACTTGGCATGGAGATCGCTATAATCAAAGTAAGAGCACCATACACTGGACAACCTGTGTTCGGTGGTATTAACGCATTTAGGGTCTAAACATTTGTAGGTTAGTGATTAAGGTTGTAAAGTACTTTTAAAGATAGTTGTGTTTTTCCTTTAGATTAAAGAACATAACTTAAGGCTAAATGTGAAAACAGAATACCGAACTAACTACACGTAAGATCAACAAAGGAAAATGTCCTCTAAGATAAATGAACGTTTTGTTACAGGGTCGTAAAGCGCTCACTTTCGGCCTTTCTAAGATAGGCCTCCACGAGCGTGGTAAGGAGCTTGATCCCAAGGCCAGTTGCCTGACTCCGGTTGCGGTTGATGTCTGTTTCATCACCAACACGAAGCCGAACCATGTCATGGAACATCTGAAGGTACTATAGCAGCCTTCACACACCTCAAACATTGGCCATAAATAAAACAGTACACAAAATTACTTGCACAACGATTATGACAATCAACAGTACTCAGAGGACTTGGACACTGATTATGACAATAAACCAGTACATGAAAGGACGTGACATCAACTTTGACAATGAAGAGTACGCGAAATCACTTGAACTTTGATTATGACAATAAAACAGTATGTGAAAGGACTTGAACATTGATTATGACAATAAACCAGTACACGAAAGGACTTGGACATCGACTACGACAATAAACAGAGCGCAAAAGGAATTGAACATTTATTATGACAATAAATCAGTTCACGAAAGGACTTGAACATTGATAATGACTATAAACCAATACGCAAAAGGACTTGGACACAGATTATGACAATACAACAGTACGCGAAAGGACGTGGACATCCATTGTGACAACAAAACAGTATGCGAAAGGACTTGGACACCCATTATGACAATATATCAGTTCACGAAAGGACTTGAACATTGATAATGACTATAAGCCAATAAGCGAAAGGACTTAGACACAGATTATGACAATAAAACAGTATTCGAAAGGACTTGGACACAGATTATGACAACAAAACAGTACACGAAAGGACTTGAACACTGATTATGACAATAAAACAGTACACGAAAGGACTTGGACACTGATTATGACAACAAAACAGTACACGAAAGGACTTGGACACTGATTATGACAACAAAACAGTGTAAAAAGGGCTTGGGCACAGTACAATAAAACAGGACTTGAAAGGACTTGGACACTGATTATGGCAATACAACAGTACACGAAAGGACTTGGACACTGATTATGACAGCAAAACAGTACACGAAAGGACTTGGACACTGATTATGACAACAAAAGAGTACACGAAAGGACTTGGACACTGATTATAACAACAAAACAGTATACGAAAGGTCTTGGACACTGAGTATGACATTAAACCAGTACACGTAAGGACTTGGACATTGATTATGACAACAAAACAGTACACGAAAGGACTTGGACACTGATTATGACAACAAAACAGTGTACGAAAGGGCATGGGCACTGATTATGAAAATAAAATAGTACACGAAAGGACTTGGATACTGATTATGACAATAAAACAGTACACAAAAGGACTTGGACAATGATTATGACAACAAAAAAGAACGCAAAAGGATTTGGACACTGATTATGACAATAAAACAGTACACGAAAGGATTTGGACATTGATAATGATAACAAAACAGTACCCGAAAGGACTTGGACACCCATTATGACAATAAAACAGTACACGAAAGGACTTGGACACTGATTATGACAATACAACAGTACACGAAAGGACTTAGACATTGATTATGACAGCAAAACAGTACACGAAAGGACTTGGACACTAATTATGACAATAAAACAGTACAGTAAAGGACTTGGACACTGATTATGACAACAAAACAGTGTACGAAAGGGCTTGGGCACTGATTATGACAATAAAACAGTACACAAAAGGACTTCGTCACTGATTATGACAACAAAACAGAACGCGAAAGGATTTGGAGACTGATTATGACAATAAAACAGTACATGAAAGGATTTGGACATTGATTATGATAACAAAACAGTACATGAAAGGACTTGGACACTGATTATGACAATACAACAGTACACGAAAGGACTTGGACACTGATTATGACAGCAAAACAGTACACGAAAGGACTTGGACACTGATTATGACAACAAAAGGGTACACGAAAGGACTTGGACACTGAATATAACAACAAAACAGTATACGAAAGGTCTTGGACACTGAGTATGACATTAAACCAGTACACGTAAGGACTTTGACATTGATTATGACAACAAAACAGTGTACGAAATGGCTTGGGCACTGATTATGACAATAAAATAGTACACGAAAGGACTTGGACACTGATTATGACAATAAAACAGTTCACAAAAGGACTTGGACACTGATTATGACAACAAAAGAGAACGCGAAAGGATTTGGACACTGATTATGACAATAAAACAGTACACGAAAGGATTTGGACATTGATAATGATAACAAAACAGTACACGAAAGGACTTGGACACCCATTATGACAATAAAACAGTACACGAAAGGACTTGAACACTGATTATGACAATACAACAGTACACGAAAGGACTTTGACATTGATTATGACAGCAAAACAGTACACGAAGGACTTGGACACTAATTATGACAACAAAACAGTACACGAAAGGACTTGGACATTGATTATGACAACAAAACAGTACACGAAAGGACTTTGACATTGATTATGACTATAAAACAGTACACGAAAGGACTTAGACATTGATTATGAAAACAAAACAATACACGAAAGGGCTTGGACATTGATTATGACTATAAAACGGTACACGAAAGGACTTGGACACTGATTATGAAAACAAAACAGTACACGAAAGGGCTTGGACATTGATTATGACTATAAAACAGTACACGAAAGGACTTGGACATTGATTATGACTATAAAACAGTACACGAAAGGACTTGGACATTGATTATGACAAGAAAACAGTACACGAAAGGACTTAGACATTGATTATGACTATAAAACAGTACACGAAAGGACTTGGACATTGATTATGACAATAAAACAGTACACGAAAGGACTTGGACATTGATTATGACAAGAAAACAGTACACGAAAGGACTTAGACATTGATTATGACTATAAAACAGTACACGAAAGGACTTGGACACTGATTATGAAAACAAAACAGTACACGAAAGGACTTGGACATTGATAATGGCAACAAAACAGTCATGGTAAACATATGCCCCAAATTCATTGTTTGGTACCGTTTTTTTATATGCAGCTTCTTCAATATATTTCTGTCAATGCATGGAATTGAAATTATGAGTTTTTGGCGATTATCTTGTCATTGAGTGTAACAAAAGGATAAGTGTTTATTGTAAAGGGGTTCCAAAATATCGGCTGGTTATCCTTGTGAAGTACTCAGTGAGTGTTTGAATTTGTCCACTTGACCTCGAATAGAAACCATTCAAACACACTACAAACATCAGTGTTTGGTACCTTAGTCATTTAACGTTTTAAGATGTAGTGCTTGAGAGGGTGGCTATTTATAGTTGTTTCCCTCTGCTTCAAACGACCCAAGCTTTCCGAACAGACTCGGAATAGGATCTTTGGTTTCTCAGCTCTAAACCTGCGCTACTTTGGCTTTAGTCCCATTGACGATCAGCAGTCTTACATGGCATCTCAATCAGTCACTTGAATTTTAGAACTGCAACGTCACTATCATGGAGGGGCCGGTAGAGAGGAATGGCGCCATTGGACCAATCACCTCGGTCTACTTCCGAGACCCGGATGACAACCTGATCGAAGTGTCCAACTATCCCGACATCAAATCATAAAGCAGGTGTCAATTACATGGTTATTGCTGTTACCATGGTGACGTGCTAAGATATATACAAGGTGCCTTTCCGATTGATTTTAATCGTGTTGAATCAAAGAAATAAGCAGTATTGAATGAAACAGATCTTCATTTGTTATGGGTTTGTTAGATCTACAAATGTTTGTAGTTTGACTGTGAATGTGTTCTTATAAACAGGATTGTGTACGTATATGTTTTTCAGCATCTCAAAGGAATCGTTGTCTCTGAATGTTTATTAAAACAGTTTTCTTGCATTTCAGTGTTATTAGTTAAATCTAACAGCTGTCACTTAAACCACTGTCAATGCTAACAGTCTACAGTTGATACGTATTGACTTCACTGAAACATGCATACTACTATTATGCTAAATGTAGTACATTCATGTAAGCATCGGTATGTGATATGCAACAATTTAACATGGGTGGTAGATATTTACCTTTAGTCTTATTGTGGACCGGCAGTATGTCGTTGTACAGGCACGTAGGGAGAACTTGTAGATCAACACTGTATCGTAAGGAAAACATAGTTTCTGTATCATGGTTGTGTAATGAGATGCATAGAACAGTCCATTCTTTACGCATAGAACAGTCCATTCTTTACTTATAGAACAGTCCATTCTTTACGCATAGAACAGTCCATTTTTTACTTAGGGATGCCTACACGGAGCCAAGTTTCACAGTTTGCACGTTAATGATTTCATCATAACGCGCCACTGACTGCGTGCTACTTCTGCCTTATAACGGTAGCATTTTCACTGTCTGTGCAAAGCTTTTGATTGGCAGGAAATTGTTTATCTTTAATGTATGTGCCATTTTGTACCCTTGTCAATTGTTATTGTATATACCATGTATGCAGAGGTTTAATGTACATTCTACGAGGTACCAAGGGGCCAACATGTAGACTTGAAGATGCTCTCATGGATGTAGGTACTATTTCTGAGAGAAGAGATAAAGAGAATAAATGTATCCCCATATCAAACGTGACTTGTGGACTCTTCTTTTTCAAAAGCATCCTTAGGGATGAGAGAGTGGGTTTAGTTTTACGCCGCTTTTAGCAATATTCCAGCAATATCACGGCGGGAGACACCAGAAATGGGCTTCTCACATTGTACCCATGTGGGGAATCGAACGCTGGTCGCGAACGATATAACCACTAGGCTATCTCACCGCCCTCCTTAGGGATGAACTAAGTAAGCTGATTATAATAAAATCAAATTTTTAACTCAGATGTGATACCTCTCAATATTTAACATGTATTGGAGCAATATATCTTATTTGAATGAGATTGTTTAACAGACACATATATGTTTTCGGTGACTTCGGTGGCTAAAACGACGAGGTGTGATACTACTTCAACACATGATATCTCCAAAAACCCAATTCTAACACATTTCATCTGTGATATGTAGAGTACCACGAAATCACTACTCTGACCCCTCGTGTCATGTTGTTTGTCTGTGAGTCCTTCATTCTCTACATTCCGCATTCAAACCAGTGGCTGACGGCATGAACAACCTGTCATCGGGACATGGTATCACGCGATTAACCAGGTTACCATAGTAACCACCCGATCCAAGTTAACCAGCTCTTGGGACAACCATTGGATATTGAGGGTCTATTCCGCCTCGAAGGAGAACCTTATCATGCAGTGCCCTCAAAGACATATTCCGCTGGAACCCATCCCCTTGATCTACACATGGGTTTGATCGGCGGTGGTTAAAGCGTTTGCTCATCACGCCGAAGAACGTAGTTCGAGACCCCACATGGGTACAGAAACCCATTCTGGAGCACCCAGCCGTGATATTTTGGGCTGAAAGCGGCGTATATCCTTACTCAACCACTCTTAGGGCCGGGTAGATCTGTTGTCTGTTCATTATCACTGTGTGTCCAGATATAGAGATGACGAGGCCTATTGTGGTAGAGAAAGGCTGTTCTTCCCGATCAAGAGAACACAAAATGGCTAGCGTCTAAGTTTTGCTTTAAAAACAGCTTGTAAATGCTCGGTACGATTAAATTTTCATGAATATCTCTTCTACTGTAGCAGCGTGGAGTCTCTCTGGGGCAAGTAATCCGAGAGATAGCAGTAATAACAACGGCCTTGTGCCTGGTTAGGTTGACCCATTAATGTCGACAGTCATCGTAGTGTAGTGGCACTGATGCCTTAACTAACCCCACAGAACTTTATTTGGAGATTCGGGGTTTTCAATACAGCAAAGGACGTACAAGTAGGGAATACATTTTATATAATCTTTTGTTTGTAATCAGGTTCGATTCCCCGCGTATGTACAATGTGTGAAGCCCATTTCTGGTGTTCCCTGTCGTAATATTTTGTCAATTTATCTGAAAGCGGCGTAAAATTCTACTCACTCATTTGTGATCGAAATACCGAATATCCTTATACACTCGATTGTCGGGGCCAGGTTATATAGTGAGTGAGTGAGTTGGGTTTTACGCCGTCTTTAGCAATATTCCAGTAATATCACATCGGGGAACGCCAGAAATGGGCTTCACACATTGTGCCCATGTGGGGAATCGAACCCGGGTCTTCGGCGTAACGAGCGTAGACTTTAACCACTAGGCTACCCAACCCCTCTTTTATATAATTAAGGTGATTTGATAATTATGAAATAACATGTGGAAGCAGCAAATGTCATTTTATCATTATACATATATTATATGAAATGTGGAATACGCTTGTGTATTCACGCCATATCACCGACGACTTGCCTGCAAGCGTTTCCTGGAGTCAGGTGGTAGGACAACGCTAGATAACAGTTTCTGATACGATGTCATTGGGCCCTCATCATTGGGTTTTCGTACAATATATACCCCAACACGTATCCTTGTACAACAATTTGAATTTATTGCCTCTTTGCGTGACGATACATTGATTGCTGAATGGAATGGCAAGGGATAAGTTGCCTATCTACATATGTCTGTCCACGTGTAGTCTAGATGCCGTTTACACCGAAGCATCATCACAGCACAAATAAATTGCGCTAAAATGTTGGTACTACAGAGTTTGGGTTACTGTTTTCCACATCCAGCTTACACGAAGTGATAAACTGAATACTGCTCAAAACAGCGTTAAACTCAACTCACTCTCCCATAGACCCGTGAAGGTCCGGGTTAGAATGAGCCTTCAGTAACCCATGCTTGTTGTAAGAGGCGACTAACGGGATCGGGTGATCAGGCTAGCTGACTTGGTTGACACATGTCATCGGTTCCCAATTTCGCAGATCGATGCTCATGCTTTTGATCACTGGATTGTGTGGTCCGGACTCGATTATTTACAGACCGCGGCCATATAGCTGGAATATTGCTGAGTGCGGCGTTAAACTAAACTCACTCACTCACTCACTCTCCCATACATTATCGATATAAATACGATGAAAGTGACTATCATAGAAGGAAGTGTGCATCATCTCTGATGTAGGGAATTCAAATAGTACGAGATGAAACACACTAAGTATGGGGTATTGTACGTGACATGTTCCGACCACGACGTAGGTTCAGTACACCTCAATCTACACTCACTACTTGACATCATGAAACACAACACATGTTTTACACGCGGAGAGGCTCGCCCCGGTAACACTTGAATACGGCCAAAGCAACTGCCGGCAGTTGTGCTTATGTTCGCTCATCATTATCAGTCTATCCTTTTATCACTCCATCTTTTCACCTTGTGCAAAGAGGAGTACAACATGTTCAGGGATTACCGCCGGCATGTACGTGGTGACATGCCTGAAGATGTCCAGCCGGAAAAGTCACCTTTCTTCAGAATAGTGGACGGTACCGAAGTGGAAAACATGTCCCTCGAGTTGGCCCGCTTCCATAGGATAAGAGGTTTCCTTAAAACCAACGAGGGAAACAAACGTAGGACATATACAGCCACAGATGTTCGAAAAGCTTTGGAGACTGAAGTGGCAAGGCAGCATCCCAATGATGCTGCAAAACGTAAGATGGCCAGTGACTAACTTGCACATGGCCAAAAAACAATACATAAATACTATGCTAAAAAAACACCCTTACAGGCTGCTAGTGAGTGTGCATTTGTAGAGGTTGTCATCAAGCAAGCAGCTAGTACATCAAACGTTGAGGAACCTGTCTCGGCGTCAATTCCAGCAGATTCCTCCACCCAGCCCCAGGCCCCAACCCCCAAACCCTGAAGGTAGGGGGAAAGGGAAAGGCAAAAGTAAAGGCAAAGGAAAACTCATCAAGCCCAAAAGGTAAGAAATTAGGTGGATAGTGGAAGGTAGGGGGAAGGGAAAGGTAAAAGTAACAGGGAAACATGATCAAACCATGATCAACTATAGGATAGAAGTAATAGGATATAACCTGTAATTCCATAACCTAAAGTCAGTTTCGATCCATTAGGTTTATACAACAGTAGTAAAGGGGTTCGGTGTTCGAACTTGCTGTTGTGGGAATGGTGCAGGAAAATGAAAATGGCACTCTTAAAAGAGCAACCTCCACGTGGTGAGTGCTGGTCAATACGAATAGCTCTTAAATGTTTCTTTGGGGTGGTTCCGACGAGCCATAAATCACCATTGTGCAAGTTGTTTCATATGTAGACGTACGTGTATTTCGTAATATTTATCATTCATTTATGCGATTATTTATATATATATATAATATGTCTTTTCAGCTATAATTTCTATATCCATGGTTCGACTTAGATATCTATAATGCATATGAAAGCCCTTTCAAATTCGTTTCTAACGACAAATAACACCTACATGTAATGTCGCTTGTTTATTCCTGCGTCACACCCACTATCAGCGGGGGGTAATAAGTCCTATATCCGTTGTGCGATCCTTAATATCTATAATGCATATGAAAGCCCTTTCAAATTTGTTTCTAACGACGTACAACACGTACATGTGCGACATTTCGCAAAGCTGCAAACGTCTGTACATAATGCCGCATCTGGTGTGCGTCGCCGACGCTATCAGCGCATATCAGCGCATGTTTCGTT